AGGTTCCTGTAAATGTCATTATTTTCGCTTACGAAGCAACGGGCTAGTGGGATAAATTGTAAATATCGCTTTAATATTTAGGTAAATTTTCATTTAACATTTTCTCCATGTTGATTAGCTAAAGGGTCCTCTATCTGTCCGTCTGTCTGTTATGTTAATATTAGAGTTATTTTTAAGTGCTGAGATTATACAAAACGATAAAATTACTTTTATTGACCATAATATAAAATTTAAATTACCGTGTTATTCCTATAACTGATATGGACCTAAAATGTACTCACATTTCCTAATACAATTAATCCTATAATGCGAGTATATAAAAGGTAATCCATGCAATAAATGGCCTCCATATTAGAAGTAAAATTATACTCATTTTCTACCATACAATTATAAACAATTGTCCATTTTTTATGGCCAGAATAAGACTACATAAAAGCCTTTGTACCCTTTTAGGGTGAAGTTTTCATAAAAACTTATTACAGACAAAATTTGCAAGTTTATTTAATGGTGCTACATGAATTTTATTGTCTTTTCGGGAACGGTTAATTTTGGAATTTTACGACATGTAATTAACACAATGTTTGTGAAATATCTTTCTTTTTGTTGCTGTGAATTATTAATAAAAATAAATTTTAAGACATACGAATTCAATAACTTCTAAAGGCATTACCTATTTTATTTAGAAATTAAAATACTTCAAGAAGGAACCCCAGAAACCAGTAAAAAAATACTTGACGATTATTGACTCACCTACCACTTTTGTTATACAAATATTACAGGTATTACAGATGGCACTAAACTTTTCTTTAATCGAAAATTATTTTCGTTAAAAATGCATTCATTCAGAAAACAACAGACTTGTTTTGATTTCACTTTTTCTCCTATTTCCTTTGGAATTGTTTTCTTCGTTCAGCACACGAATGAAAATGAAAGTTCCGAAAGAATTAAACACATCACACATCGGTGGGCACCAAGATATTACACAACTTTGCAATTCTCGAAAAGAATCCACCGCTAACTACCATAAACGAAAGTATTTTTTATTTTATTTTTGTGTTCAATTGTTTAATTGAAAAATTCAATCGCAAAACTAAAATGCGATACGCAGTTAACTATATATACTAGATATGATGCACAGTTTCCCTGGTGATTTAACCCGTTTGAGTTCGGTGGAAAGAATGGTCGAATTGACCCATGCTTTCCACTCATCGTTACGCTCGGGAAAACTATAACAATCGATTTGCATTAGCCATTGGTTCATTCCGGTCTCTTTAACAATCGAATCGCTTGTTTCTTGTGCACTGTTTTGATAATGACCCTCAATTGTTTAATTATTCAATATTCACACTATCAAACCATCCAAAAGAATGTCTCTCTCTCTACCATTATCATTAAACCCATTGTGTACAAGCATGGAATATTATTGTTACGTGTAACAGCCACCTGGTCCATGTACACAATACAAGTTTTTTATCGAATTATTGTTTATATTATTGCGCTTATAATACATGTACACACATACATACATACATATATGTAGTTTGAGTAATATTTACTAACGTACGAAGCCTAAAGAAGGATTAAACATAATGTTTTTTTTGAAATTCCAATTTGTAACTCTAAAATTCGACTTATAATTCTAAATGTCGAATTGCTACACAAAATTTCGACTTGCTACCCGAAATTTCGGCTTTTAACTCTAAATGTCGACTTGCTACTAGTAAATTTCATCTTGCAACTCGAAATTTCTACTAGTAACTGTAAATTTCGACTTGCTACTCGAAATTCCGACTTGAACCCCAAAATTTCGACTTGCTACCCGAAATTTCTACTTGCAATTGGAAATTTTAACTTGTCAATTGAGTGTCTAGCAATATACCAGAAAAAAGTTCGTTAAGCAGACATAATTCTGAAATGTACCACCCTCAACAAGACATTTGTTGAATTAGGAAAATTTGGAGCACATATTATAAAAATTGATCCAATTTTTAAATTACGATGCTACAGATTACGTCGGAATCTATTTAAGTGCTGTGCTGACTAACTAGTAAATGCAGAAGCCAATAAAACTACATTTTTAAACATTTTGATTTCTAATTTTTTTAATTTAAAGTATTCGTTTCGCCCCTTTGGAAATATCCCTATATTATAATGTTAAATCGTTTTCGAAAGTTTTTGAGCTTTAATAAACAACGATTCAGAAATTTTGGAATGTTTTCATGGACGGTAACAATATTTAAGCCAATACTATCCAATAATAAATATTGTTTTAAGACTAATTTTAATTTTATAATACAAACATACGAAAAACTTATTTAAAAATAAAGCCCCGTAGACCTCTAGTGGACAATAGCAGAACCTAAATCTACTGTTACAGGAACTACATGGAAATTAGTGATTTACTTTGTTTTCCGCTCCAACCTTCTCAAGAGAATCAATAGAGGTCACCCGATACCCTTTTCCCAAAGCACGAAGTAAAACGCTAATTTCTTAATAATTAAAAAAGACAATTAATGCCTACCGTATATCATAAATTAATATTATTGTTTAAAATCCGTCTCATTGCCTAATCAAAATAGAAAATTGAATTTTCCCCAAATTTCCAACAAGTGGAAATTGAAAAAAAAAAACTTAATCAACAAAGCGTGTATTAATTACATAAAAAACTTTTAATTTCTTGTTCCACATAGGTATATATTTTTTGATTTCATTTATCAATAAATTTAAGGATAAAGATAATAAATGAAATTTTGAGTTCGTCCACTAACATTGTACATTCTCTTATTTTTTGCGTCGTCCTCCTCGTCCTAAGGCTCATATTGCACTAAATGTAAATATTTGGGGGAATTCAATCGCGTTTTTTATGATTGACCCAAGACAACATGATCGAATAGGTTGAATTGCCCTCCTGACTATACACACGGAATAAACTAGGTCAGCAGGTGATAGGGAATGAAAAAACCATTTCCTTTCAATTGACGAGAGATAATAAAATGTCGCATCGGGAAAACGTTACCTTTCATAAAGGAAACACTGTGGTCGAAAAATTCAAAATATATTACATTAAGTTAGAGGCTTTGAATGAACTAGAAGTCTAATATAATAGAGATATGACATTAATCTACAAAAATAGCAAACTAATTATGTAATTAAAACTGTACACATTTTTGTGCTACATGCGCCAAATTAAATATCAAAATTTTCAGTATTTTTTAGCAAATCTTTTAGATTTCGCGTTAAAGACCACTGTGCTCGGTTGCATTTCGAGGTGCGTCACTCCTTCGGGAATTGATGATCAAAAACGGATTCGCGTTTATAACAGGGAGCTTTACCGGCCACGAACCGGGAATATAGGTCGGGAACTGCATGCTGTCCTGAATACCGTTCATCTTCGATATATTTCCCGATAATAAAGAAAATAAATCATAAATTAGTTCCGGCATTTTTCTATTCGTGGACAAACAAACAATCCCGAACAAGATCAAATAAACTGCCTAAATAACGAGTTTAACAAGTTAGATACTGATATTTTGTATGATAGCATCGAAAAATGAACTAGCAAAGACTTATTCCCAGACTACGACCTATCCTTATTAAACAGCAGGACTTTAAAATAAAGCACAAAATTAAGACTAAAATTGCAGGCGAAAGCGTATACATAACGACAACTTTAAGGCCTAAGACTTGTATTATATCACTGTATTAAGACTCGATCTGCAACCACAATAAAGTTTCAACTACAAGATCGAAAAGAAAAAACATAAAGAAAATCGAGTACAAAATCAAAATCATCATTATAAATAACGATTCCGATATGTGGTATATAAGGTCAATTTTCAAGTCTGAGACTGACTTATATTACTGCGGTCTTAGAATGAGACTTACAGGAAGATTAAGTCTTCGAGGGTCGAGACCTTTCAGACGCGAGCTAAATCGCAAAGACTGTCACTATGATCTCAGTTATGAGATCAAAATATAAGACTTATGTCAAAATTAAAGCTAGACTTGTTTTGAGGCCAACGATTAGACGTCAAGACTCAAACTACATATATAAAATCAAAATTGAAACTACTACGAAAGATCGTCAAGATGTTTGTAAGAAAACGTATGAAAAATTAGGTAGATTAGTATGAATATAGGAATTTGCAAAATGATGATCAAGGTCTTAGTGGAAGGAAGGGGGAGAATGGGGGAGAACTGTTTACTCCATAGCAAGATTATTCGACCCCCTGAAAAAGGCTCTGACAAGTCCCAATATCGTAACAAACTTTAAAAATGTAGAAACTAAACACACATAAAAAGATACAGCTATTGAAAATTCCAATTCCTACCCTCTAGCGAATAGCTTTTTTTTTAAACATCTTACATGAATGACATTTGGGGGCGATCAGAAATTTATATTCTCTCTGTTAAAAACTGTAGTAGGTATCGCATATCTGACCTTGCAAACTGTTAAATCAATTATCTAATTTCTAAGTCAATTTGTCCGTTTATGTTCTACCAGACATTAAACCAATGACCAGAACAAGAATGTTTCGTGGGTGTCGAGTTTACAGTATGTACTAACAACATGAATCATCGGACCGCGATTTCCAGAGCATCGCGCATCTATCTGCCGTTGCATCAGGAACGAACAGGAGGACGCATTCCCGAAATGTTTGTAAATCCTATTTTTCCAGGGCTACGGTTACGTTGCGTCCATCGCAAACACAGGAAGACGCGAACGGACGAATGACTGGGCGCTTTTTGAATTACACGGTAAGCATCATCATAATAATAATAATAAGTAATTGGTTATAAATTAGGGCAGAGAGCCACTCCTTGCGCGAGAACGAAAGGCGTTTTTATGGCCGGAACTTCCGACCGGGTGAACTACTTCTGCATTTTATTATTTACCGTCCTGCATCGAGGCAAAAAATGTNATCATCATAATAATAATAATAATAAGTAATTGGTTATAAATTAGGGCAGAGAGCCACTCCTTGCGCGAGAACGAAAGGCGTTTTTATGGCCGGAACTTCCGACCGGGTGAACTACTTCTGCATTTTATTATTTACCGTCCTGCATCGAGGCAAAAAATCTGTTAATTTTTTTGTTTGCTTACAATTAACTTGGTAACGAACGCACTGTTTCAAGACACATACATACATACATAGGTCACTTTTCACCAACGGAAAGCCCATTGTTTCTTCACTAACAAAGGCTAAACAAGTCACAACTTACTTCGTACTACAACTCATAATATCTGTAGCCAAACTGAAATAATTAATTTATTAAATGATCTACATAACTTCGCATAGAATAGAAAAGAGATGTCAGATACGAATTGCAGCGGACACATCACACCAATTGATGTACAACAGAAAGAGATGCAAGAGGCAAGCAGAATTTGGACAGCATGTTGCTAACATTGGACTTTAAAGAATGTTGCAAAAAATCTTTTAATTTTTTTTGTTTGCTTACAATTAACTTGGTAACGAACGCACCGTTTCAAGACACATACATACATATATAGGTAACTTTTCACCAACGGAAAGCTCATCGTTTCTTCACTAACAGAGGCTAAACAAGTCAGAACTTACTTCGTACTACAACTCATAATATCTGTAGCCAAATTGAAGTAATTAATTTATCAAATTATCTACATAACTTCGCATAGAATAGAAAAGAGATGTCAGGTACGAATTGCAGCGGACACACCACACCAATTGATGTACAACAGAAAGAGATGCAAGAGGCAAGCAGAATTTGAGCAGCATATTGCTAACATCGGACTTTAAAGAATGTTCAACATTCTCAGGAATTTAGGACAGTAAAGACACTTGTTTAAAGACATAATTTCAGCCAGGCAGTTATAAAGCCGATCCGGATCTTTAGCGTATTAAAACAACCCCTAACTGCCGCACCGGTTACTATTATTCGGTTATCTCTTTTCACTTTGTCTACACTGCAAATGACTACAGTTCCAAGTGGAAACAAGAAAAACAATTTATTATGGACTACGCCAATTTTGATCGTTCTAACTGTATTACTGTCGACTTTGTTGCACACATTTGACCCCTTTTCGACCGGTAAAGTCTACTTCTTATTTCCGATCGCGTTTTCCAGCGTTTAACTTTAATGCTACATGCGATCGTCTCTTTTGATCAAATAATATCCTATTACAAATTTATTTACTCTCTTGACCAGACCAAGGATAGAAAAACACGTGGAAAATACTTGTTGCTTTATTGTTTGTGACCTATTTTCTTTTTTGTGTCACATTTTCACGTCAGTAATAAGAACGGGAATATTTCTTTAAGGTGCGTGTTTGTCCTAGAATCAGCGGCGACCACACGAACAGGCGACTTATGAAGTTAATAAATGCTTTCAGGATACATTCGAAAGGATTCAGTTTTAGTTCGAAATTTTAATTGCGTTCCTGTCTAAAATCATCACGTTTTTATATTATAACTATTAATATAATCACGTATTTTTATTTACTTATTTTTACGTTTTTACACATGATGTATTAGGACAAATGTAAAACAGATGCCAGACGGTGTTAATTAGACCAAAATACAATTCGGCTGGTGGGCAGTGATGACTAATTTCTACTTCGTTCATAGTTACAAATTTTTGGTACGACCGAGTAAAATTGGTAACAAATTACGCTTTGTCTTAAGCAACAAAACCAAATTGCAAGGACATTAAATTAATTGTCGGAAATTTGGATGCTTTCCCAAAAAAGAAATGATAATTCGTTCCTTTAGTGTTATCGATCTCATTAAAAACCCATTTGAAAGAAAATTCCCATGAAATATAACTAAGTAGGTATAATATCGGTAAAATATTAGTAACCTTTCACTAACAACCAGGTCATAATCATCATCATAAGGTCGTCAGTACGAAGACTGATTGGACACGCACCTCCAGTCTTTCGTATTTCCTTAAAACTAGAACAACCCAAATCCTTAACTATTTGCGAACAGTAATCTAATCTAAGTCTACCTCTACCCCTCCTAACTTCATGCCTGAGAAGTTGTCCTACTAACTCATCTCACCTATTTCTTATTGACTTCCATAGAGTCCACTGTTTTCCTATTCTTTCTAATACCTCTTCATTTCTAACCTTCTCTATCCACGGTATCCTCATGATTCGCCTGTAACACCATATTTCGAACGCTTCTAACCCTTTCTTTTCCGCTGCGCCCACCGTCCATGTTTCGCACCCGTACAATGCCGCGCTTCAAACATACACCTTTAACAACCTTTTTCGAATTTCTGAATTAACCATTGACGAGCATAGAAGTAACTTCTTTTTATTCTCGAGACTCGACCCTGAGCTATCTTCTGTTTTATATCCCTACTACTCCTTCCGTCCCGACTTATCTGACTTCCTAGATACCTAAAATCAGCCACTTCTTCTAATTTATCGTCTCTTATCTTTACATTCGCTCTTTCCCTACTTTTTCTTCCCTTGCATACCAGTATTTTTGTTTTACTTTTATTTATTTTCATACAGTACTGTTTTGTCAATACCGCTTCCATTTTATTTAAAGCTATCTCTAACTCCTTCTTGCTAGATACTAATACTGCTATATCATCTGCAAATCTAAGCATGTATGCCCCTGTATATCTGTCCCTACAGTTGTACTGTCTTTAATGATATTGATCGCATCTTCGATGTACAGATTAAAAAGTAGCGGTGTGCATCCCTGTCTGGCTCCCTTCCTAATATTTACTTCACTACCACCAGGTACTACGTTTTATTTTAATTAAGGAACCAAGTAATTTTATTTTATTTTGGGACGAGTAACTACTTTCCCCCGCTGCGGGTCGTTAAATTCGGTAATTATAAGAATAGAAAAACAGTTTAAGGAAAATTTATTTCGACATTTCGAAAACAAGAGCAACGAGAGTCAAAGAATTAATGCGAGAATGTGAGTGCTTATTTTTGCAATCGACACTGCTAAGAGCCTTTATTTTCGGATTATTGACACCGAGTGTTTATTTGAAAGGTCAAATTTATGGGAATTTCAAGCCTTTGTCCTGTGGATGCAGGTGGACTTCGAACGAAACAAACGGTTTTGATACAGGACATTTGCAATCGTTTGTTTGTGTCAAATGCATTTTGTGCGATGCCATAAGGTCACACAACTGTTTTTTGCCCGCTGCTAACTTTGTATTTGTACCAAAGAGGTGGCAGTTTAATCAACCCAAGTTAAATTTTGTTTATTGTTTATTATCTGTTTCCTTGTCTAAATAACGATTATATCTATGTTCTTTGATTCTTACTTTTAGGGTTAGGCTTCTTTGTCTACATATCGCGTCTTACTATAGGAATAAATACCTGCCGCTTAGGGAGAAATAAACCTGACGTAAAATTTATAAATCGCAAAAGTTCGACTTACCCCAAGCGTACTCCTCCATTGTTGTCCATTATTGATGACGATTTATCTTCCTGTAACAGACAAAAAATAAAGTTTTAGTGACGATAACAATCCACATTTGTACCTAGCTAAATACAAAAGGATCTAGGACAATAAAGTATCAAAATCATTCAAAACGTTTATTAAATCAATCCATACATACATAATTGAAACAATTGTTTTTCAAACTTCATTTAAATCAGAAAGAAACGACTTTGTCTCCTGGTTTTCATCATATTCATCATGCACCATGTCCAGACTTCGTCCTGTCAGCAGTCTCTTCCTCTTTTCATTTTCCTTCTTCAGTTCTTCGTACGTTTTGAAATTCTTCCTGTCCCTGAAGACGACCACCAAACCAGCACAGTAACAGCTGACTGTGAGGCTCAACACAATGCCCAAATAGATCAAATGTCTCACAAGGGCATCCGTCAAAAGTTTGCTCTTGGAAATCACGAAAACCAACACCTGTTGCATTCTAATATTGTCCACCCGGCAGGTGTAGTTTCCTTCTTCTGAAGAAGTCACTTCCCGGAGGTACAGGGTCCCAAACGTGTCAACCGTAATATGAGGTTCTTCGTCTGGGCCTGGAGGCGGTACGCTGTCACCGAGAGGTAACCTTTTTCCATTGCGCTTCCACAAAATGATGTTCTCTGAGGTCGCTTCGGGACACACCATGGTCAAGTGCGATCCTTGAACAAGGACATACGTTTTCCGGTACTTGAACGATTTTATTTTACCACTCTTCCAGCCACTCACGGAACTGCCTACTTTGCATGTTCCTTTTTGTAAAACAATCAAAAATAAGGTAGTTAGAAACGCAATTTGTAACATTTTCCAAAAAACAATGTTTTGGGCCTAACATTAAATAAGTACATATGGAATACTTTTATACTTTTGGAACTTTATCTGAAAGCTTGGCTAATACGTAGATGTTTTGGCTGAAGTAACACTTCAAGCAGAGATTAATTTATGTAATTGCTTTATACTTTTAAGATTGGGATTTTAAGCATTAATAGTCCATAAACAAAACTTTTAGACATACGCTAGACTGTTGCCAAATTATTTCGAAAATTCAAACTCAGCGCTAAAAATAACATCAACTAACATCCTATAATAATATTGCTCCTCTAGTTTTTGCCTTATTTAGGTTTGCATGTTATGCAGCCTGTTCTATTTTTATCCTGACTATTTTTATCACCTTTGCAAAATTTTATTTCTCGGAAATCCGGAAGCACCCTAGTAAGACTTCCTATATAAGGATAAAAAGTGAAGAAGGCCGAGGACGAACAAGACACCCTGTTCATGTTAATTAAGTTCTTCTCTGCTTCATTACGACATTTTGATAGGGCTGTATTTTTGTTGATGGGGATGATTTTTATCCTGCAATAGCCCTCCCTTTGTGTAATTCCTTTACCAACGGGTTTACCGCAAGCGTCACAGGGAGTCCAGGAATCCCAGTCTGTAAATAACTCTACCGTTAATCCTACCTCTTCTCGAAGGCGAACAAACTCAGAACCAGACGATGCCCTAGGGAGATAGGATTGTCGAAAAAAAAAAAGAGATGAAAAGAATATGATACCTGAAGAGTTTGTTTATAGGATACAAATTTTCTTCGTGATACTTCCTCCAAACCTCTTCATCCCCTGTTTCCACAGAGGCATTTTGTTCGTAGACGATGTCCACATAATAATTGAATTTCTGTTCGCTTTCTTGACCTTCGGTACCCTCGCACAAGTACAATCCTGAGTCTTCAGAAGTTACATTTCTAATTGTAAGACTGTGTTCCAAATTGACATGGACCCTACTGCGTGTAATGTTGTTGTCCATGTCAAGGGCGACCTCTTCAGGTTTGGAGTTCTGAATGGTCTTCTGCTTGTACCAAACTTTGGGCTCTTTATCATCATTTTCCCCGCAAAAATGGCACTACAGAATTGGGGTAATAATAGTAAAGATACCTCCGCAACAATACTTAATTATTGTGCCCAAAAGTACTATCTTCACCTGAAGTACAAAAGTCTTTCCGATAGGAACATCAACCAGAGAGAAATAATCTTCGTCGTCACTAGCGGTTAGTCGATCTCTTTCTCTGCATTTTCTAATGGGAATATCGACTTGCTCATTATCACTTACTTCTGTAGCATTGTCACCCCATGATTGACACAGAATGAGAGTAACTGATAATAATTTCAAACGACGTTGATTAGTCATTAATCGTCCTATGTATTTGACAAGTACCTTAACTAAAACCTCCAATTAATAGATACAAACGACCACTAGATATGAGTAAATTTTTATCATACTATTAACGAAATCATCATGATATTTTCCCTCATTTTAGGAACGAAAGCACAACACACCCTCTTCGGTTAAAAATTACGTACAGGAAAGGATTTTTCGTCACCCCCCAGATTTAACCATTTCTATTATACACTATACACAGTATCTTTAACATCGTCCTACACCAGATGTAATTCAAATAGTTTAAACTTTTTCATTTTATTTAGAAATAAATTCTGCTTCTTTTTGTTACTTATTATAGGGTTGTTCGGAAAGTCATTTCGTTTTTTTTTTGTGGAAATAAAAGACAGTTTTCGTATAATAAACAAATACTTTATTAAATTATATATTGACCGTTCTGGTCCAACACCTTTTGCCATCTTTCTGGTAGTAGCATAATTCCACGCTCATAAAATTTTTGGTCTTTGCTGGCAAAAAACTGATCGAGGAGGTTTTTGACCTCCTCATTTGAGGTGAAGGTTTTACCGTCTAAAAAATTTTGGAGTGACCGGAACAAATAATAATCCGATGGTGCCAGGTCTGGAGAATATGGTGGGTGTAGCATTGTATCCCATTCAAGCTGTAAAAGCTTTTGGCGAGTGACCAAACTTGTGTGAGGTCTCGCGTTGTCTTGGTGAAACACTACACCTTTCCTGTTGATTAGTTCTGACCTTTTCTGTTGAAGTGCATCATTCAGTTTGTCCAGCTGATGACAGTAGACTTCCGAATTAATCGTTGTGTTATCCGGTAAAAGCTCAAAAAAAACGATTCCTTTAAAATCCCACCAAACAGACAGCATCACCTTTTTTTGGTGAATATCGGCTTTGGAAATGGTTTGAGCCGGTTCATCTTTTTTGCTCCATGACCTCTTGCGTTTGACGTTGTTGTATACAACCCATTTTTCGTCCCCAGTGATGATGCGCTTCAAAAACGGATCATTTTCGTGACGTTTGAGAAGCGAATCGCAGACGTCAATGCGGCGACACAGATTTCTCTCTGTGAGAACATGGGGAACCCATACATCGAGCTTCGAGGATAATCCCAGGCCTTTCAAGTGGTCATAAACTGTTGAATTTGATAAATTTAACCTCAATCCGATCTCACGTGTTGTTATTCGCCGGTTCACATCAACTAATGCCTTTATCGCGTCTTTATCAGCTTCAACCGGCCTTCCCGAACGTGGTGCATCTTCGACATCAAAATTGCCGGATCGAAATTTAGCGAACCAGTTCTGGCACTGGCGTACTGTCAACACACCTTCTCCATACACATCAGTCAATTTCTTTCTGGCTTGAACAGCATTTTTACCCTTTCTGTAGTAAAACAGTAAGATATGTCGAAAATGCTGCTTATCGCTCTCCATATTTAAAAGGGCACCAACCAAAAACTACTGCGTAGAATTAATTGGAATTTTTCACACACAAGCCTTGCTATATGAGCTCTCAAAGCATATAAAAATTATACGGCTTAAATGTGAAGTTGGTTGCAAAAGAATACAATTAAATCCTCTGTCGGGAAAAAACGAAATGACTTTCCGAACAATCCGATAGTTACTTTCCATTAATTTTATATCACACCGTGTAACAAATTTTATGATGACTTTACATTAAAACGATTTTAAATCCACTGTGTTTGTTATATAAACTTATAAAGAATGTGTTATAAGAAACACGTGGACCTGCTAATATAATAATAAAATCTTAGGATTCTAATTGCAAAAATAAACAGTAAAATAAAAAAGACATTTAGCTATTTTTAAGATAAGTAAACGTGGAACATTTTGTTGATATAAAATGAATAATTTGTACTTAGTAAAAACTGTAAAAGTCCTTTTACTGAGGTATATACTCATAAATATTTAAATGTACACAAAACTACGATCCTTCTATTTTTATATTTTATTAGGAAATTTTGTTTACGGTTATTTATATCTTTTTCAAATACTAATTTAAAGTAGGCACCTGAAATGTGTATTTCGTTGTAAAAACCAATTATTCAAATTATGCGAACTTTGACTAAGTGATTTAGTCTCAGTTCGTTTTTAAATAGATTTTTATTAATTAATATATAATTATTTATCGACGGGTAAGCGTACCATCATGTGAATCCATTTTTAGTTGCTTTAAATTAGTGCGCCAAAACAAGACGAATTACTTCACAACCTTGAACTTTCAAACTGTAATTATAATAATGAACACATGGTCCAATATATTTAGAATTATTTTTGGAAACATTTATTTACATAATTATGGATGGGAATTAGGGAGATGCTAAATTACAATTTAAATTATGACTCGGCTGACTTGAATCATTAGATATGTCTATATTTATTAGTCTTGCCTTTGAAAGAACAACTTGCTCGACTGTTTTAAAAATTTAGCTCAATTTTTTAAACTAAAAATGACTAAAACAGATCACCACTAAAACATTTCACTGTTGATACGTTTCGTGGCACCTACTTAGGGTGAATTCCTTTAATTTTCCGTATTCCTTTCAGTTTTCTACATTTCTATATTGTAAATAGTAATAATAATGCTCTGAATTTCGAATGGCCTAATTTCGATTTATTCAAGACAGTAGATATTATATTAAAAGACTCTGTGCCACTCATTGAAATGTTGTTTGTGAAGCTCGTTGGTTTGGAGATTATTATTGAATTAGTTTAGAAAATTGATTCTACCGCCTATTTGGGTCAGTGAATCAGGGGCAAAAATAGAGGTTAAGAAAACACAAGAGGCACTACTTAAGGGAAGCAAATAACTTAAAAATCTTTATCTTCTAGATGGAACAATAACGAAAACAATAGGTTCCTTATGTATAAAGATATTTTGCAATATTTCACAACGATTATAAATTTAAAGAAGATCATGTCATAGTGAATAGGTCATTTATAAACGTCTGTAGACGTCATGCAATTATTGTTTGTAAATTAACAAGGGCATAAATTTTATACGAGTTAATAAATTCAAACTACTCAACGTCGCCTTTAGGTTCTGCACATCAGAAGTTTAGAATTAATTTAAAACTAGAAATACACCGGCGGGCTTTCAATTAAAAACCACCCCCACCAACGTCATCGAACTACATTAAGTTCTACTCAAAAAGTGATTCAAACATCATATCATCATCATCATCATAAGGTCGTCAGTCCTAAGACTGGTGGACACACACCTCCACTCTTTCCTATCCTGAGCTAATGTTCGCATTTCCTTAAAACTAGAACATCCCACATCCTTAACTATTTGCGAACAGTAATCTAACCTAGGTCTACCTCTACCCCTCTAGTATGTATCTGACTAGACCTTCATGCCTGAGAAGGTCTCCTACCAACCTATCTTTCCTATTTCTTATTGACTTCCATGGTGTCCTCTGTTCTCTTATTCATTTCTAACCTTCTCTATCCACGATATCCTCATCATCCGTCTATAACACCACATTTCGAACGCTTCTAACCCATTCTATTCCACCGCGCCCACCGTCCATATTTCCCACCCGTACAGGGCCGTGCTCCAAACATACGCCTTTAACAACCTTTTTCAAATTTTTAAATTAACCGTTCGCGAGCATAAAAGTGACTTCTTTTTATTGAAGGCGACTCGACCCTGCGCTATCCTCTGCTTTATATCCCTACTACTCCTTCCGTCCTGACTTATCTGACTTCCTAGATACCTACTACAATCAGCCACTTCTTCTAATCTTTCGTCTCCTATTGCTACATCATCTGCAAATTTTAATTTTTTGTTGACGAATATTTATATGTAAAAACATGCATTTTCTATGGTCGTTACTATTTTTGAAAAAGTTCGAATATCACGTTCAAGTATAACAAAAATTATAATTTTTTATAAGCGTGCGCTAATTTCAAAACGTGAATGTGCCAGCAATAGTTGAAGCGATTACATTTGCAATTTAATGTTTACAAATTAGAATTGAAACAACTAAAAATAGGGCACATCCGACGCATGAATGTTGACAAAAAATATAAATACAATAGCCATACCTTTGACGATTATGGGTCAGGGTTACAACATCAGTAAACTGTTGAATTTTAATATTTTATTTGTAACTTGTTTTCAACAAACTGCCAAGTCATTTTCTAATTTAAAAAAAAACTATTCATTCATTCGTCTCTATGCCGTTTTTTTCTCGGAAAATTTATGTAAAACGTACAAGACATGAAGGAGCTTCAACAAAATAGATTATTTTAGATTAGACAGATTTTTAAACTTTCAAAGGTGTATTCTCGATGAAATATTTTCAATAATATAGGAAAAGAAAGGAAAGATGTTTCAACAAAACTTTATTCCTCGACAATTGTTTCGACCTCTAAAAGGTCATTTTCAAGAGTACAATAGTAACTATTGTCGAGGAATAAACAGTTTTGTTGAAACATCATTCCTTTCTTTTCCTATATTAGATAGATTAGTTAAGGTTAAGCATAGATACAGAAATTCACCTCAGAGTTAGTACGGTAAAGATTTTATTGCATCTTTTAGTTTTTTACGTGTTTTTGGTTCAAAATCTACTACGACGTTTCAAAATTTTTATGTGTCCAATGGTATACACATGCATAAGTGTGTATGTTTTATACTCAAGTGATTCTGACAATTAATTGTTTACTTTGCCATGCCCATGGTAAAAAAAACACAAAAACAGGATTCCATCCGATGCTTTTGGCTTAACACAAGGGGATTACCCTATCGTTTGGAAATAACCACGCGAAAAAATAAAAACTGAGATAACAACAATCAACAACATTGCTCATCAAATAATAACCGAACAATTGACTGCACACAGAGATACACGATTAATAATTAATGAATTTCAAGTAGGGTATGCAGCATACATATTGTGTAAAGTACCTAAACGGATAGGTATTTTGCGGTTGCTCTTGTACACAAAAAAGAATAGAACGAAAACAACAATTGAAATCATAATAATAAATGTTCTTTATACAGGTTTCTTCAAGGATGCCAGAAAACTTATGTATTATATTAAACGCTTGAAATNTAAATATTTTCTATAAATCGACCTCGTTCTGTAACTATTCCTAGCAGTTTTAGTTTATTATTTGTTCGTTAAATAAAGAAAAAAGTTCGAAGTTTGACGACAACTCGATTCGATACAAAGTACGCCCGCGGGTTGTAGTCCTTCGACATCAAATAATAAAGATTTTTAAGATCTTTTGCTTGACCCGATACTCGTGCCTGTCTCTCCTTCTTTCTTGCACATCAAAACGTTCGCAAACAGGTAAGATAATTTTAATTTCCAGGAAGTACAGGCGGAAATAACAGGCGATTATAATTCAAAATCAGATACTTGACGTTTAATTTGAAAGGATACAAAAATATCTAGAAAGTCCTTCTGTACGATTTTTTTAGGGACAAAAAAGTTAATCTTTTGGAAATTACGACGCTTGTAGGTGGACACGTTATGCAGTGTGGGATGATTAAGTACCAACGCACACTCGAGACTTCGGTTCTTAAATTGGTACAAAAGACGACAGAAAGGATTCCTGTGGGATAGTATAACAAGGAATAGTCCTTTAGTCTCGTTGGCGGCAAATTCAGTCATTTGCCACCGAAAATTTTACAAATTTCTGCTTTGTCATAAAAATTTAGTTTTCTTCGTGTACCGCACGATATCTGTTCCCAACCGAAGTATACAGGTAAGGAAAAACGTTCACCGGACATACAAATGGCACTTTTTGTGTTGGCATTATTTCAAGTTTTTTTATGTCATATTGACATTGACGTCTAACCCACAGCATGTGAAATTGACTACGGGACATTATGTACTTTGTACAAAAGAGTAGGAGACAGTGAAATATTTTGTATTACAAAAACCGATGAGAAGGTACATGAATATGACGTAAAGTTTAGGTTGCGGAACACGGTAGGTACCCATAACCGATGCATACGTACAACTTTCGGCCCACGATAATCATTACCAAGGCATCGTGGTAACGGAAAACAGAACAGAGACCGCCGGTATTTCTAATAAACTCATTACATAATACTGTCACCACAAAAATTTCAGTTACAAACATGAAAGTAAATGTATCTATCTTGTTGAATAGTGTTACAAAAAAATTAAGCAACTTTATACTTTGTACAGGGTCAGGGGAAAGTTATTATTACGGACACATGTATAATTA